GAGGGAACTCTACTCCCAAATCTAGATTTTAGTCCATTCCACATGTACAGAAATGAAATTAGATATTCACGTGAGTTAATCACATTTTCTAGAGAGAGAAATCACATTTCTAGGGGGAAGGAGGAGCCGGGAGAGGGCAGACACACTGATAACTATGCATTACGCTACCTACTTAGGCTTATTATGGACCTTTCCAAATTTGATAAAAAACTATTTCTTCACATAAATTCAAAGTATAATGTGAATTCGAGAATCAGAAATTAGATAACAAAACCACCACCAAACACAATTAATGTAAGAAATTCTAGAAATTCTGTGTGCACCTTCTGGATACACTGTACGAAGACAGAACACATTCTAAAGTAAACAATTTTAAAATAGAACATTCCTTCCCGATAAACATTAACTTTAGATTTTGATTTCATTAGTTTATGCATCTTGTATCTTGATTCAATTTGACAACAGCCCAAACACATCTTTCTAGCATTAAGTTTGACCAGAACAAGCTTGAACGATTCTCTGATCCACTGAAATCATCCAGAGATGTTTGTCATAAGCTGTTATTTCACAAAAGAGACATGAAAAAGAATGCTTTATGTTTGCTTAAAGTAATTTTTCTTCTTTTGAAAGTCATTCTAAATTAACTCTAAAATTGATTTTAAAACAATTAGGACATCTTCACCTCCGTGCCCGGCAAGATCATGGAGCAGACCCTCCTGGCCATGATGCTAAAGCACATGGAAAATAAGGAGGTGATTGGTGACAGCCAACATGGCTTCACTAAGGGCAAATCGTGCCTGAAAAATGTGGTGGTCTTCTATGATGGGGTTACAGCGCTGGTGGATAAGGGGAGAGCAAGCGACATCGTCTACCTGGACTTATCCAAAGCATTTCACACTGTCCCACATGACATCCTTGTCTCTAAACTGAAGAGACATGGATTCAACGAATGGACCACTCTGTGGATACGGAATAAGTGGTGTTCCTCAGGGGTCGGTATTGGGTCCATCACTATTTAACATCTTTGTTAATGACATGGAGAGTGGGATCGAGTGCACCCTCAGAAAGTTTGCAGATGACACCAAGCTGGGTGGTGTTGTGGACACGCTGGAGGGAAGGGATGCAATCCAGAAAGAACGTGACAGGCTGGAGAGGTGGGCCTGTGAGAACCTCATGAGGTTCAACAAGGCCCAGTGCAAGGTCCTGCATGTGGGTCGGGGCAATCCCAAGCACAAGTACAGACTGGGCAGAGAATGGATTGAGAGCAGCCCTGAGGAAAAGCACTTGGGAGTGCTGGTGGATGAGAAGCTCAACATGAGCCGGCAATGTGCACTGGCGCATCCAAAGAAGCATGGCCAGCAGGTCAGGGAGGTGATCCTGCCCCTCTACTCTGCTCTCCTGAGACCACACCTGGAATACTGCATTCAGCTCTGGGGCTGTTGGAGTGGATCCAGAAGAGAGTCACAAAAATGATCCAAGGGCTGGAACACCTCTCCTATGAAGACAGGCTGAGAGAGTTGGGGCTGTTCAGCCTGGGGGAGAGGATGCTCTGGGGGGACCCTCCTTCCAGTACTTAAAGGGGGCCTACATAAAAGCTGGAGAGGGACTTTTTGCAAGGGCATGTAGTGATAAGGCAAGGGGCAACGGCTTTTAACTGAAAGAGGGGAGATTTAGATTGGATATAAGGAAGAAATTCTTTTACTATGACAGTGGTGAGGCTCTGGAACAGGTTGCCCAGAGAAGCTGTGGATGTCCCATCCCTGGAAGTGTTCAAGGCCAGACTGGACGAGACTTTGAGCAACCTGATCTAGTGGAAGGTGTCCCTGTCCATGGCAGGGGGTTGGAACTAGATGATCTTTGAGGTCTATTCGAACCCAAACCATTGTATGATTCTATGATCTTTAGATACATAGGCCTGACGCAGTTCTTTTCCTACTTCAAACCATCTTTTAAAACAAACAAGACATTACGATTTATAAGACAGTATTTTTGATTGATTTATTAAATACTTTCACAGTACTACAAATTTAACATTCAAAAATAAGGTATGATGTCATGGTAGCTTAGTTCTTTCAGACCAAACTTGGTACCATGCCCAAGTCTGTCAGCACTGCTGGCAAAGGATATCCTAAATAGCCTACATGAACAACATTTCTTTGTTTTACCCTTTAATGCTTCAATGACTTTTAACATCACCTCTAAGAACTATTACAAGTAGCAGCACTCCGCAATATCTTTTTTTTTTCCCAGAGCTATCAAAGAATATTAGTAAATTGCCAAGTAATTCCAGATTTGCTCTAGGAAATAAAATCTGATACAATTTAGCAGATTATAGCAGCAAATACAGTAAGAAGGTTTGGAATTTGCATTTAAAGATAAGATTATTTGTCCTAATTCAACCACAGTAAGGCAAAGGGCAACAATGCAAAATATTAAAAGCGTTACTTCCAGGTTTCTGTTTCTTAGAATAAAATGCACTGAACTGTGTCTCAGTTCCTTTCACAGCTATGCAACTGAATTCCTGTATGACTTTCAGCAACCGCTTTCTTCACCGTTTTTCCTCCTATTTCCTGTTTGTCTTTATTAAACTGTATACACACTGTGGAAGTGGAAACAGAAAAAAAGCATCCTTCTTTGTTAGCTGGTAACTATATGTATAGCATTAGAAGGAGCACAATAAACAGTCCCGTAAACAGTGATACCTGTAATACAGCAAACTGACTGCTAAATGCATCAGTGACCACCTCAGTTTCAGAATTAATGTGCTAAACCAATCACCTTTCCGGAGCATCATAAACTTACATATTTATCTACTTTCAGGAGCCTATGATAGATAAAGACATTATACTGGGAAACTGAAGAACTCACTTATCACAAGTCAGAAAGTAAATATGACTCAAATTTAGGGGGGGGGGACAAAAAAGGGGGTCGGGGTGAGGGAGATGGTGGGACAACACACAGACGAACAACTTTTGAAGTACCTTTCATTTCAGCGAAATACCTGATCATGCAATGTGGCTCCACTCTCGATAGTCATTAATAGTGTATCCTGACAGCATTAACAAGCTTTATCCAAATCAGGCATAGGCAGATGACAGGATTTGTCAAACTAACCAAAGCATCACACGATCTATCAACCAGAGAAGTGACGGATGCTTCATCCCCGGAACCACTCAAGGTCGGGTTGGATGGGGCTCTGATCAACCTGATCTAGTTGCAGATGTCCCTGCTTATTGCAGGGGAGTTGGACTACATGCCCTTTAAAGGTCCCTCCCACCCCAAACTATGCTATGATTCTATGCAGAGCTCACATTGGCTTGAAGCCATGGACAGGAATCTAATGTATCAACACCAAACCCTTCCACATTAACATGTCAAGTAACGCTTGTCCTTAGGGCCTCTAGTAATACACCACAAATGGGAGTAAGACAAATTTCTGCATCCCAACTGCAATCAAATCCTTCAACAAATTCGAAAGTATACTAGGCTACCTATAGAACCTAAAAAGGCCAAGACACGCAAATAAATAAAATACACTTGAACTCTTATACTGCATTAATTCCCTTCTGCTTACATTTATACTATTCTTCATAATTAGTTTCAAGAATACCATCACATCAACACTAGTCTCAAACAAAAATAATAAAATGTAGATCTTTATGAAAATGCTGAATCTTCTGAAAGCAGCTGTCACAATGAGCTCTTTAAAGGAAGCTCTATACTTTAAGAACACATCTGAAGGTGTAGAACAATGTCCTGGTTTTGACTGGAACAGAGTTAGTTTTTCGTTTTAGCAACTGTAAGAGCTCTGTGTCTTGGATTTAGCATGGGATTTGTTACGAGAAGAATGCAGATAGCGCACTGATTTTTATAGTTGGTACTGAGACATCAAGAACCTTTCAGTTTCCCGTGTTTTTGCCAGTGTGTAGGAGCACAACGGGCTGGGGGGAGAATAGCTGAGACAAAGGGTCCACAACTCCCCTTAGGATTTGAACTTACATTTAGGAGTATTGGAGTATTCCATATCATTGGATATGGAATTGGATATTCTATATCCATATCATTGGCCAATGGAGTATTCCATATCATGCAATGTCATGCCCAGTATATAGATAAGACTTGAGCGGGAAGAAGGTCTCTTGTTCTTTTGAGGGCTCTCTTGGTCTCTCTGGGAGTGCGGTCTCTCTCTCATTCACTTTTTGGGCCTCTCGCTCATCCAGGATTGCAATGTCCCAACTCAGCTGTTTCAGAATCGTTTGCAAGGATTGGACAGACGTTGATCACCCGTTGGTGAGCAATTATACTGTGCATCACTGGTTTGTACATACTATTATCATTTATATATATATAAAATCATTATTTTATCACTATTACTTCTAGTTTTGTATTATTATTATTATTAAATTGTACTTATCTCAACCCACAAGTCTCCTTCCCTCTTCCCCTTTAATTCTCTTTCCCATTCCCCACAGTGGGAGAGGGTGAGTGAGCAGCTGTGTGGAATTTAGTTGCCGGCTGGCTAAAACACAGCAAACAACAAGCCTCTAAGTTTCACATCGTTTGCTGCCACTCCCACACACATTATGGACGCCACAGAACTTCTGATTATCCTATGAATGCTCTACAGCCTGATTTCCATAAACTGAAGCCACACTTCTAAGGTATACTGCAAAGTCACTTGCACATCAGAGATCATTTTACTGCCATGGGAAAGCAGAAAGGAGAGCTTCTAGTATTACTTATAGTCCTAGAACAAACAAAACCATACCTAAAAAATTTAACAAGCAAACAGATGTTCTAGCATGCTCTCCTGGGTAGGCAGGAGAGAGGGGAAGTATCCTCAGACCTACAGTGCTATTTCAGCACTGAAACAGCTGCATCTTAGTTAATGCACATAAGCTGATATAGCACGAAGAAACTCACTATACTTCACATAACACAATAAGCGATCTAAAAAAAATCTTGTTGATTAACTAAAAAGCAGGCAGAGACTAATTAACAGCGATGTTTTAGGTCAAGGTGATATTCAAATATTTTTTCTGTATTATACTCAACACTGGAAGAATCCTGTTCTTAGCAGACTAATAGGAGTCCTCTACCATCCGTTTTTAATAAATTTTTATTATCTCAGGTCAGAAAGGCTGAAAGAAATCAGAGCTTTCAATAAAGCTTTTGCTTTCATTTGAAAGGGTCAGGGTTTTTTTTTTGGCATCAGGAGAGCATTAGAAGTTTTAACCGCTTTCCCCAAGGCTGGAATTTCTGAATCACAGAATGGTTAGGGTTGGAAAGGATTTCAAAGATCATCCAATCCCCCTGCCATGGGCAGGGACACCCTCCACTACACCAGGTTGCCCAAAGCCTCATCCAACCTGGTTGAACACTTCCAGGGATGGGACATCTACAACTTCTCTGAGCAACCTGTTGCAGTACCTCACCACCCTCCAAGTGAAAAATTTCTTCCTTATATCTAATCTAAATCTACCCTCTTTCAGTTTAAATCCATCGCCCCTTGCCCTATCACTACACGCCCTTGGAAAAAAGTCCCTCTCCAGCTTTCCGTAGGCCCCCTTTAAGCATTGGAAGGCTGCAATAAGGTCACCCCAGAGCCTTCTCTTCTCCAGGCTGAACAGCCCCAACTCTCTCAGCCTGTCTTCATAGCAGAGGTGCTCCAGCCCTCGGATCATCTTCGTGGCCCTCCTCTGGACCCGCTGCAGCAGCTCCATGTCCTTCTTGTGCTGGGGACTCCAGAGCTGAACGCAGTATTCCAGGTGGGGTCTCAGGAGAGCAGCGTAGAGGGGCAGGATCACCTCCCTGACCTGCTGGCCACGCTTCTTTGGATGCAGCCCAGGATACGGTTGGCTTTCTGGGCTGCCAGTGCACATTGCCGGCTCATGTTGAGCTTCTCATCCACCAGCACTCCCAAGTCCTTTTCCTCAGGGCTGCTCTCAATCCATTCTCCACCCAGCCTGTACTTGTGCTTGGGATTGCCCCGACCCACGTGCAGGACCTTGCACTTGGTCTTGTTGAACTTTATGAACTTACTACAAACACAGCATAAAGCTTATATGTAGGTTTTTTGAGCTCTAACTGCAGTTCACCTCCTTCCAAGTAGAAGACACTATCCCATTCTTCCTACATGGTTCAAAGCATGCCCCAGAAGAACTAAAAATATTACATTCTTCCTTCGATAAGAAAGTCCAGTCACTGCCTTGAATTGAAGCTCTCCCTCCCAGCTATACGTGAAGAGGAAAGCGAGAATCGATACATAAAAAATAACTGCCCTGTATTACAGTATCAGTTTTAAGCAGATTGTCTCTGTAGATAAGGGTTTTTTTTGCCCTATTACTTTGCATAGCTAAAGCCCAAACCCATTTCTTTTGCTTTCCTCAGTGTTGGGACATCTTGTTAGGCATCTCTCCCATACCCTTTCACAACCTGAAGAACCAAAGTCTTCAAGAATTTAAGTTGCTTTCCAGCCAGCTAGCCAGGGACATTCAGTAAGTCTTGATCCACATCCCTAAACCAGGCAATTCCGAGCTATTTATGTTCTTGAACAGCTTTCAGCATACAATGCTACTGCCTCAGCTAAGCCCAGGAAGCGCAATAGCCTGAATTCACAAATGCATCTTGCTACTGAAAAATGTACATTCATCCTATCTAAGAAACAAGAGCGATGTCAAAAATTGCAATCTTTCTGGATGTTCAGTAAGAAAAACCTTCATCATAAAGGAACAACTCTAAGACGCCGTCTTGTAACACAGGAGCCAATTTGCCCTTGACCTAGTTAAATAAGAATGAAAAGTCCATACTTCGCTTTCCAAGAACCTTTCTTTAAAGAGCCCTGATTAAAAAACACTTCCATGTAGAAATAGTCCCGATCTAATATTTACCATATACTCATGGTAAGTGCTGTATTTACAGACAAAACGACTACCCAGAGTTACCATGGGCAAAGACAGGAGGGTTAGGTCAATTGCTACAACTCAGATTCTTTTACTCTGCTGAAACCTGACGATTTTTCTCAGCATCTCATCTGCATGCTAGCATCATAATACCCTTTGGCCAAGACTTCAGGAGACCAATCACTCTGCTGTCAAGATATTCAGATCATTTAATAAAATTTATACCGAATATGATGTAACATATTACCTTAACCAGGCTCTTAGAGTCATCAATTTTACCTGAAACATGTTCTCGTCTCTGTTACTGCTTTGCTTAGAAGACGCTGCACCTTTTGAACTTTCACCAGTCTTTTGTTTCTTTACAGGCTTTTCTGGAGCTGCTTGCTTTTTCCGCTTTGCCTTGGAGCAAGAATAAAAAAAAGAAAAGCATGAACCACAACTCAATCTGTAAGTTACAAAAAAGTTTACGTTTGAGGTCAGAACTACTACATAACGCACATAATCATCTTCCTTCTGTGAAAGCAGGAATAAAATATTGCACGTTTAGACTGGAATTTAAAAAAAAATAATCTTCAAATAAGCCTAATTTTGTTCCCAGTAAAGTTTACTATAATAATTCGATTTTAAAGAGAACGGAGTTAGATCAAAATACATTTCAAAAAGCCTACTCTTTCTGCACAGTAATTCTGCAATTTCAGTAGTTTTAATAAAAAATTTAAAGTCTGATAGAAATGTCAGCTTCCTTTCCACCAAGAGCAACAAAAAATACAGCTTACAACTCCTGTAAAAAAGAAAAAAATAACAGATGAGATAATGAAGAAAGGATCTGGAAATCACCTCCATCAAGGCAGATTTTTTTTTTTTTAAATCAGTGTCCTGTTCATAGCATGAAAAATTAAGTGTGTTTTTAAAACATTCAGAAGTTATCACCTGTAAATCAGATTACCTGCAGATGCTATAAAGTTACTATCTCTACTGATGGTTACAAAATAACCATGTCTGCTCCAAAAAAAGAGTTAATACAAAAAACTAGTCTCATCTTCTAGAATCATGGTGTGGACAACCTCTTTTAGAGACAAACAGTTCCAAAAAATATGGGAGGTTATAAAAGTAAAAAAAAAAAAAAAAGCACCTTACTGCCTACTAAAGCAGACTGTCATTTTGGCAATAATTTATCAAAAAAAATCACTTGACCATGTTCTCTTATATTAAGATTTGACAGAAAACGCAATTTGCAAAGCGCAATCAAGTCATGCTTGAACCAGTTCAGTAAAGCAGACTCTTTTAAATCTCTACACTAAAGACCTAATGTCCGCATTATCACCTAGCATTTCTTAAAAAGATAAAATTAATTGGGTTTTTTCAGTTTTTGTTCATAATGACTGGTACAGCTACACAAACTTCTAAATTAAATAACAATTCAAAATGAACGGGAACGCTCAATCTATAGATTTAGAACAGTCAACACATGTTAAAATTAATCGACTCAAAAACATTCAGGTTGGCTCAGCTTTTAAGTGAGAAAATAGCAGATGGTACTACAGTAAATGTAAAAACTTGTAAGAAACAGAGAAAAAAGATAAGCAAGTGGTCCACGGAGAATAGGGCAAGTGGAGGTTTTTGGTTTGGACAAGTCATCCAGAGACCAAAATGGGGGCAAGTATTGTGTTTGTCCTCAAAATTAGACCAAATTCTTGCCACCAGGAACAGCTTATACAGAAGCCTTCCATCACTTGCTACAAACCAGCAAAGAATTCCAGGAAGCTTGTGATTAGGTATATCATATGCAAAATTCTGAGAGCAAAATGCAACTTAAGAAAAAAAGCCTACTGCAAGGCAAAAAGCATACTATTCATCCAAACTCCCATCTTGTGAAGTGTTGGGGTTTTTTTGTTGTTGTTGGGGAGGGTGGGCATGGGAGAGAAGGCTGTTTTGGGTTAAGTGTCTGATAAATTATATGGAATGATATGCATGTTGTGACTTAATGCTCATCTATTTCCTTAACCCCAGCCTGAAATAGAAGAGTTAATGTAGTAATAAACTCCACATAATGTTCACCTTTTTATCAACTTCACTATCTGAATCACTGGCAGATGAGCTTGAAGACACAAGTTCCTTTGACTTAGGCATCCTGGGAAGAGAAAAATAACGTTGAGAACACTATACAAGGAATACATCCCATTACAGCTGGAAAGCCATTTGCAAAGCTATTTCTAAAGGCTCACCTTATTCAAAACCCTCCTAACGACTTGCCTGTTTTTTCATAAAGATTTTATACACATCACAGATGTGATCTCAAACACTCTTCCTTCTGGTATCTTTTCCTTTTTGCTGCAACTGCATTAAATGCAGTGTTATAGCTTCTGAACTGTTTACAAAAGGACAATTTTCACCAGTTTCCTATACCTTCAGGCATGGCAGAAACCATAATGTAAGAAATACTAGACCATACCATCCTCCAGTTGAATTCTTAGTATTACATTCACAAATACATACTATTAAGGCCCTAGCATTATCTATACTCTTACCTGGGCATTTTGCCTAACTGGATTTGGATGCTGCATAATTGTCACACGTGAAGCTAAACTTCCCACCAACAGTACAAAAGTCTGAAAAAACATCTCGGTTACAGAGAACTACAGTATTGCAATTAATATTTCCACCACAGCTTCAACACATCAGTCACTAGAGTCTGTTCATTTGCCAGACAAATGGACATCCAGCTTTCCTCGACAGCATGCTGCCAGGTGTGCTTCTACGTCCCCGTAGCATGCAAACATGTGGTTAGACGCAGCAGTTGCACATCTTGACTGCTACTAGAAACTTTGTAATAAATAAATAGCTCGTTTGTTCTTTCAGAATAAAAATAAGCATCCCAGAGTGAAATTGTATAAAATAAACTACAGTTAGGAAAAGCTAAGGGAAGATTAAAGAAGCATCTCTCATGAAAGAATGAGGAATAGCAGTGTTTTTAAACTGGCAGTGAAATAAAGCATATGCAAAGGAAAAAAAATGGAGACTGAATAACGATAATAGATCAATGTGGTTCTAAAGTAGGTGGTAATAGCTTGGAGCACAACGTTGGAAGCTGTAGCACGGAAAATGAAGCAGGGCATGGGGAAGCAGACATGGGCCACGCTGCAGGATGGAGACAGAGGAGAGCTGGAACGGGACGATGTAAAAGTAAGTACAGCGATGCCATGAAAGCCGGGAACCGAAGAAAGACTGATAGGAAAGAGGCGCGCACATCAGCAGGGGATAACCCCAGGGTCCACATCAGGATGAGGGAGTGACAACATGGAGGAAGGTGGGGGCGGAAACTGGAGGAAAAAGAAACGGGGGGCGGTAGGTGCCTCTCGGGAGCGGCTGGCAGGTAGAGCGTGAGGAGACACCGAAGCACCGGTGAGGGCGGAAGGAGACGGGCCAAGCGAGGACGAAGGAAAGCGAGAGACACGCGAGGACGAGCTAGGAACACCAGGTAGGCGGATCCCAGCCGCCATTTTCCTCCCCTATTCCTCTTTCGCAGGGCTCGTGTTGCCCCCCAGGAGAAAGGAGCGAGGGCCTAACTAGGGAGACGCGGGCTGGGACGGCCAGGGCTGCCCATGGCAGGGTGGCAGCAAGAGGGCTGCGGGTCACCGGCAAGGGAGGAGAGAAACGGCGGCACAAGAAACAGAGCCGGGGGTCGTCAGCGGGCAGGGGCAGATCCCGGCGTCGGGGAAACGGAGCCGGGCG